AGTGGGTTTGGAAATTTATCAGAAACTATATAAAAATAATTTGGAGGTTATTTTTATATATATAGTTCATATATTTATCTAGTTATGTTTAAAATAAACGTGGATCAATTTCAAGGTGTATACAAAGAGATATGAATTTTTAACCAAGGAAAGGTAAGAAAAATCGGACAGCAGATTCTGCAAAACAGATTATGTTGATCAACTTTGAAAATTCACCATAAATTGTACATAATGAATTAGAATGAGTTCTTATTATGGATAGATTTGTATTCAAGTATAGTTTTGAACGGAATAAATGGAGTTAAATTCCAGTGTGCATATCAATACAGAATACAGATTCATTAAAGGTAGTTTGAGTTATCTGCATATGGAAAATTGATGGGTTGTTGTTTAAGTGTTATATAATTGATATATTTTAAAGCTGGAATTATTAGTATTAAGAATTTAAGTGGTAAAATTGTGAAGGACCATTTTGGGTAAATTGGAAAAGTTGGTTCCAATGTTATAGGAATTATTAAGTATTGAGTATTTTGATAGAAAATGAGTTCAAGTATATTTTGGAGTTATTTTGAAATTTACATTGAAATTCATGCATGAATTGTATTGCTTTGTTTCTTGTTTTAATTTCCTCACTAAGTATATACTTAGCGTGTGATGATTTTCACGCGTAGGTAAAAAGCCAGTAGTGGAATAAAAGAGTTCAAAGTGACATCAAGCACCGAGGAGTATATTTTAATATCATTAAGACATCCTATGATGGAATTTGAATTAGATAGTGGCATGTAATTAATAATGTTTGATTTATTTTGTAGAATAAAGTTGGAAACAAAAAAATGGAAATTTTATAGTGATGAAAGGTTAATTTTTATGAATTTTATATGTATTTTTCGGAATTTACTATAGCAGTGTATCGATGCACTGTAGCAGTGCATCGATACACATTTTTTATTCGAAATTTAGGTGCATCGATGCACTGTTCAAGTACTGTAGTAGTGCATCGATACACTGTTCACTGTTCACGGTACTGTTCACTGTTCAGTATTCATAAAAAATACTTTGGTTTTAAATTTGTTATAATGAAACATAATTCTTAAGATATGATATTTTTATAATATCATTTACCATTTTAAAAGAAATAAATTCTAAATCAAATTTGATGTAAAAATGGTTTTCGAAAATACGGGTGACATCTATAATGTGTATAGGTATAATTATACGGGTTATGGGTGTTACATTTATTGGCATCGGAGCTACAGGTTTAGCCGATTCTAGGACTAAACCGAGGTTATTTTGAGTTAAAAAGTGTATACATGCCACTAGGATGTCAAAAGTTACTGATAGTTGTATATATATTATGATGATGTATATTGGGAGTAAAGTTATTCTTTACTAATGTATGATGATTCTGACTATGTTCAGATGTTGGAAAGAAAGTCAAGATTGAAATCGACCAAAATGGGACCCGACATGACTTATGTAAAACACCTTAGAAGGGTGGATGTTATAAAGGATTTTACTCTATTTTATGGAAGAGATGCCCCAGTTTTTAATGAAGATTCTGAATTAGAAGAATCGATTAAATAGTTTGAATGGATTACAAGAAAAGTCGAATCGAATGAGGATTCAGAGGAGATTTATGAATCTAGTAACGATTTTGAGGTTTCTAGGGGTAAGCTTAAATAAGTGAGAAATATTTAAGCTAGGCATTAAATTGTTTAAATCATTGTTGATTTGAGTAAAAAAATTTGAGTAAGCGGTAAATATGTTTTCCGCTAAAAGTTTAAAGAGAGTTGAGTTATTGGTAAATCACATGGTTATAAGTTGGATTGACAATAAATATCAAGTCCATAAAACTGGATAGAGTTACCTTGTGAAGGTAAATATGCGAAAATGGATTGTCTAGCCTTTCATGCTATAATGAATTATTGTTTAGATTGAGATGGATTCTCAAGAACTTGAAAAGTGTCAAGTTCGTAATGATAAGAAAAAGAGTAAATTTTGTTTACTAGTGTGATTTTAGCATTAACTGCTATGAAGTTATTGCTACCAATTTATCAAGTTTTCTTATTAAACGATGTGAACATTGAGACTTCCATTTGAGATGGAAAATGTATCAATTGCTCGAAAATATTATATTTGGATTGGAAAAGTTATACAGATTTTCTTATGATGAAATAAGGAATTCCAAAGTAGAAATACTCAATTCTACTTTATATCGAGTGATATTATAGCGGAAGACCCATAGGTCAGGGTCATGATACAAGGGTTAGAAGGACAAATAGTAAATATCCGATAAAGATTCAGGAGTTTATATTACCAGTGAATCTTATGGGATTATTATTCATGAGTTTTAGATCATTTTGATCATGTGTTGGTGTCTGCATTAAGGTTGGGTTAATAGTCGCAAGAAGCGATTAATTTATAAAAATGCGGAGAAGTTAAAAAAAATTAATGATTGATGAAAAAGTGAAATATCATTAAAGTGATATCAAGAATGATTATGATTAAGATGATGTAAAAAGGATGCATAGCTTTTCTAGCTAAGGTGATCGATACTCAAGTATCTGAAGTAAGATCATATGATATTTCCATTACTCGAGAATTTTTATACGTTTTTTTAGATTTATTATTATTGGTTACCTCCAGATTGAGAGGTGGAATTCAATATTGATGGTTATTAAGGCATTAATCATATATCTATGAGTTCATATTGAATGATTGTGATTGAGTTAAGAGAATAAAGAATCAATTGCAAGAGATGTTAAATTAAGGATACATTAGACCAAGTATTTCAACTTGGGGTGAATCGGTGTTGATTGTGAAAGGAAAAATGGATATATGTGATTATGCATAGATTATCGATAGTTAAACAGAGTAACTATCAAGAACAAATATTCTATTTTTAGGATTTATGATTTGCTTGTTCAACTTAAGGGAACAAATGTTTTCTCTAAGATTGATCTTAGTTCGAGATATCACCAGTTAAAAAAATTAAAGAGGAATATGTTCTAAAGATAGTTTTCAGAATACGGTATGGACACTACGAGTTTGTAGTAATGTCGTTTGGGTTGAAAAATGCTCTGGCAGCATTCATGGATTTGATTAATCAAGTATTTCAACCTTACTTAGATCAGTTTGAGGTGGTCTGTATTGATGACATTCGGGTATACTAGAAGACAAAGATAGAGCATGATGTTCATATTTGTATTGTGCTCAAGATAATTAAGGGTAAAAAAATTATATGCCAAAAATGTCAAAGTGTGAGTTTTGGCTATCAGAAGTTGCTTTTCTTGGTCATGTTATCTCGACAGAAGGCATAAGAGTTGATCCAAATAAAGTTCAAGTAATATTGGAGTGGAAACCTCCAAAGAATGTTCAAAGGTCCAAAGTTTTTGGAACTTTCTTGTTATTATCGAAGGGTTGTGAAAAACGTTTTGATGGTTATTTCTCCTTTGACCAAGCTCTTAAGAAAGGATGTTTCATATGCTTGGATTGAGAAAAGTCAAGAGAGTTTTAAAGCTTTAAAGAATATTTTAACGGAAGCACCAGTGTTGGTAGAACCGGAATCGGACAAAGCGTATGTGGTGTATAGTGCTACATCTCATAATGGTTTGGGTTGTGTACTTATGCAAGAAGGTAAGGTGGTAACCTATGTTTTTCGACAATGAAAGATGCATGAGAGGAATTATCCTACTCAAGATCTTGAGTTAGCAGCGGTTGTTTTTGCTCTAAAGATTTGGCGTCATTATTTGTATGGTGAGAGATGCCACATTTACATGGACCATAAGAGTTTGAAATAATTTTTGACTCAAAAAGAGCTTAATTTGAGATAGAGAATATGGATAGAACTTTTAAAGGATTATGATTTGATCATTTATTATCATCCAGGCAAAACAAATGTTGTAGCAAATGCACTTAGTCGGAAAACTTTTGCAGCTTTGCGAGTTATGGATGTGCCACTATTGTTGAAAGCAAATGGCATACTATTGGATGAATTAAAAGTAAAACCGATGTTTTTATATCGGATAATAGAACTACAAAAGAAAGATATTCTTTCTGAGGCACATTATTGTCCACTGACTATGCATACAAGTGGGAACAAAATGAATAAGGATGTAAAGAGTCATTTTGGGTGGCCAAGTATAAAAGAAACATTACTGAGTTTGTTGCTACATGTTTGACATGTCAACAAGTAAAAGTTGAGCATAAAGTGCTTTCGTAATTGTTGCAAGTGATTTATATTCCAGAGTGGAAGTGGTAAAGAGTCACTATGGATTTTATTACTGGACTACCTTTGATATCAAATAAAAAAGATTCCATTTTGGGTGATAGTGACTGGTTAATTAAATTTACGCATTTTATTCTGATGTGAATGGATTATGCATTGGATAAATATACATAGTTGTATATTAAAGAAATAGTTTGGCTACATGGAATGCCAGTATCCATTATATCTGACAGGGATCCAAAGTTCACTTTAAGACTTTGGAAATAATTGCATAAAGTGTTGGGTATTTGATTTAATTTCAGTATGATTTTTCATCCACAGACGGATGGTAAGTCAGAAAGTACTATTCAGATATTAGAAGATATGCTGAGTGCATGTGTGATTGATTCCAAGGAAGCAGGGGAAGAGAAAAGTATTTGCTTTTAGTAAATTTTACTACAATAACTGTTATCAATTGAGTAAAAAGATGGCTCCGTATAAAGTTTACTACTGATGAGATCAAAGAAGCTTTATTTAATCAAGGGAACGACAAAGCTCCGGGCCCTGATGGTTTCACTCCTCACTTTTTCAAATATTCTTGGTCAGTCATAGGGAACGGCTTTTTTGATGCTATCAAGTATTTCTTTCAAGATCTAAGATCCATCCTTCTTTTAATTCCACCATCATTGCCTTGATTCCTAAAATACAGGATCCTAGTAAAGTTAAGGATTTTAGACCCATCTCTTGTTGCTCAGTAGTCTACAAAACTATTAGTAAAATCCTAGTCAAAAGAATGAATTTGTTGTTGCCTGACTTTATATCCCTCAATCAAACCGCTTTCGTGAGAGGTAGATCTATCATTGACAACACCCTCCTTGCTCAAGAATTGGTCAAAGGCTATGGTAGAAAGAATATTTCTCCAAGATGTGCCCTTAAAGTTGACTTACAAAAAGCCTTTGATTCCCTTAACTGGGATTTCATCTCCTCCATTCTTAGAGCCATTGGACTACCTCCCATTTTCACTAAATGGATTGAAACTTGCTTCAAAGAAGCTAGATATTCCATATCTTTTAATGGTAGTCTAATAGGGTACTTCAAGGGTCAGAGAGGTATTAGACAAGGAGACCCCTTATCTCCAATCCTTTTTGTGATAGCTATGAATACCCTCTCTAAAATTCTCAATCTTGCTGCAGCTAGAGGTATTTTTGGATACCACCCTAAATGAAAAAAACTTGGTATTACTCACTTATCTTTTGCTGATGACCTCTTAATCTTTTGCAAAGGAAATCTTGATTCTATTGCTGAAGTGACAAGTGTTCTAAACCATTTCTATGTTTTATCTGGTCTGAACCTCAATGTTAACAAAACAGAATTTTACACTGCTGGTATTCCTGATAGAACCCTGGACTCCATTAAATCTGTCACTAGCTTTAAACAAGGTTTCCTGCCTGTTAGGTACCTAGGAGTTCCTCTAGTTACTCGGAAGCTTACTGAAAAAGACTGTCTACCTCTCTACGATAATATTATTCGTAGGCTTCACCATTGGTCTGGTAAAATTTTAAGCTATGCTGGTCGTCTTGAGCTTATTAAAACTGTTCTATACAATGTTGTTAACTTCTGGAATAGGCAATTTATCCTTCCTCAGAAAGTTATCAATCGTCTAGAACAACTTTTCTCTCGGTTTCTTTGGAAAGGTAATGATACTGCTGCTAAAGGTGCTAGGATTAGCTGGGATAGACTGTGCTGTCCTAAATCTGAAGGAGGTCTCGGGTTGAAGAACATTCATTCCTGGAATAAAGCTTGCATGTTGCAACTAATACGGAAAATAATGGCTGGAGAGGGCTCTCTATGGGTTGCTTGGATCCATTGCTATGTTATTAAAAATAATGATCTTAACGACATTAATGTTAATTCTTCCCACAGTTGGACCATCAGAAAATTGATGAAAATAAAAAGTGAAGCCTATCCAAAATTAACTGTTGGTGCCACGAAAATAAAAGATTTATGGGAAAATATAAGAGTTCATAGAGACAAAGTTTTCTGGCATAAGGTGATTTGGTTTCCACTACACATCCCAAAGCTAAGCATTATCTCTTGGATGGCAATTCTGGATCGTCTTCCTACTCGTGATAGACTTATTAAAATGGGTATTGTGACTGATAGTTATTGTATTTTGTGCAATCAGGACCATGAATCTAGAAATCATTTGTTTGTTGATTGTATTTACGCTACTTCACTATGGCATTCTATTATGAATCTATCTAGCATGAGAGATACTTACAGGTCTTGGGATTCAAGGCTTCATTGGGCTGCTCAAACTTGGAAGGGCAAATTCTTATTTCTACCATATTGAGGATCGCCTGGAGTGCTTTCATATACTTCATTTGGGAGGAGAGAAACAGAAGAATTTTCAACAGAGGAACAAGAACGACAGACCAACTTCTAAAGGCTATTAAGGAGCTTGTTCGTTTCAAACTCAGTGCCAAAGGTTTTAATAGACTAGACTATGTTAATTCTAGACTTTGTAATTATTGGGGTATAGACTAATTCTGTAAATATGTGTTTATACTCCCAATTGGGATGACAGTTGTATGATGAACCATTTCTATTGGGTAATAAAATTCTACTTATCCAAAAAAAATATGGGAGAAAATGTCAAACGCCATTAAATTGGTTCGAGTTAAAAGATCGAAATCTTGTTGGCCAAGATTTATTGAAAAAGGTTGGAGATAAAGTTATCTTAAAGTATTGCCTTGGAAAACAAAATTTTGTGTTTTGAGTGCAAAGGAAAAATTAAGTCTAAGATTCATTGGACCTTATGTGATATTAAAAAGAGTTAGACTGATGGCTTATCAGTTATCAATAACTTTGGAGGTAATTGAGATCCAGAGTTGAACAAAGTGTACAATGTTTTTCATGTGTTGATGCTTAGAAAGTATCGATTGTATCTTTCATATATCATTTCATCAAAGGAAATTAAGATCCGACCAGATTTAATTTATGAAAAAGAACCAATATGGATCTTAACTCGAGAAATCAAAGAACTATATAGCAAGACGATTCCTATAGTCAAAGTGATTTAGCAAAATCATAATGTTGAGGATGTCACTTTGGACATAGAGGATGATATGATAAATAATATCTACACATTGTCATGTCAGGTTGAAGATTTGGATTAAACAAGTTCAAAATCTAATGATCTGCATGATCTTCACAAAAATCCTAAATTAAGGAGGAAAAATCGGATTTCAAGAAGTTGGCAAGACTAGAAGAGGTTTTTGTATAAAGCGAGGGCATGTCTTACCAGTTCGTATAACCCTAAATTAGGGTTACGAATTTACAATAGGAAGTGCAATCCTTATAAAAAGGGAGTTATGAATTTTCAAGGGAAAAAGGGGAGTTATAGTTTTCATAGAAAGTTTTAAAATTCGAGGACGAATTTTTCTTAAGGAGGGGAGAATTGTAATACCCCAAAAATTTAGACAATAACCAAAATGAAAATTTGGAAAGTTTGATGGTCAAATAGAAATTTGGGAAAAAGTTTGAGGAATAAAGTGATAAATTTCCTAAAAAGAATTTTATTCCATAAATGGATAGTTTACTCTTGAGAGTGGGGTTTTATAGAAATCTTATTTTTGGATTTGGAATTTAGTAAAGAAAAATTAGAAAGGGTTAAAGCCGATAAGGAATCGGTAATTCAGATCGAATTGGAATTTTATAAATATTTGAAGGATGTTATAAAATGGTTGGAAATATTATTTTAATATTTTGGATCAGAGAAATTTGGTTTGGAAATGTGCAATTTTTCATATTTAACCGAAACAGTGGAATTTAGTGACTAAAACGTAATTTTTGAAAAATCAAGTGGAATTTCGGAAATGAAAGTCAAATTAATTCATATTTGACTTTGTAATATGATATGGATCAGGTGGCTTGGTTTTATGGTGAATAGGAAGATTCATTAAGGGCAAAAATGGAATTTCTCATTGAATGGAATAAAATATGCCATTATAATATATATTGCCATGTGATAGATTTATTTATCATTAAATATCAATCATGGATGAGCATTTCCAGCTTCTTCTTCCTCCAAGGGCCGACACTTTCAAGCAAGAAAGGTAAACATTTTTAGTTTGAATTTTGAAGTTATTTCTTGAGAATTAGACTCGGTGTGGTTAGGAAAAATGTTCTACGTTCAATTCTCTATATTTTGACAAGAATATTACTAGGATTCATGTTCAAGTTCATCTTGAGTTGATGAAAGAGGATGTTGATTCTTGTGTTTTATGGGTTTTGAAGAGTTAAGTGATTTTAAAAAATTGGTTGTGAGAATTGATGAAGAACCTAAACCTAAGGATGAGGTTAAAGAAAACAGTTTATATTTTGAATTTTTCAGTGTGTTTGGAAATTTATCATAAATTATATAAAAAAACTTTGGAGGTTATTTTTATATATTTTGTTCATATATTGATCTAGTTCTGTTTAAAACAAATGTGGATTAATTTCAAGGTGTATACAAAGAGATATGAATTTTTAACCAAGGAAAGGTTAGAAAAATCGGAATACAGATTCTGTAAAACATATTATGTTGATCAACTTTTAAAATTTACCTTAAATTGTAAAGAATGAATTAGAAGGAGTTATTTATATGTATAGATTTTTATTTGAGTCTAGTTTTCAACGGAATAAACGGAATTAAATTCCAGTGTGTATATCAATACATAATACTGATTCATTAAAAGTAGTTCGAGTTATCTGAATATGGAAAATTGATGGGTTGTTGTTTAAGTGTTATATAATTGATATATTTTAATGCTGAAATTATTAGTATTAAGAATTTAAGTGGTAAAATGGTGAAGGACCATTTTGGGTAAATAGGAAAAGATGGTTCCAGTGTTATAGGAATTACTAAGTATTAAGTATTTTGATAGAAAATGAGTTCAAGTATATTTTGGAGTTATTTTGAAATTTACATTGAAATTCATGCATGAATTGTATTGCACTGTTTATTGTTTTAATTGTCTCACTAAGTATATACTTAACGTGTTATGATTTTCACGCGTAGGTAAAAAGCTAGTAGTGGAATAAAAGAGTTCAAAGTGACATCAAGCATCGATGAGTATATTTCAATATCAGTAAGACATCCTATAATGGAATTTGAATTAAATAGTGGCATGTAATTAATAATGTTTAATTTATTTTGTAGAATAAAGTTGGAAACAAAAATGGAAATTTTATAGTGATGAAAGGTTAATTTTTATGAATTTTATATGTATTTTTCGGAATTTACTATAGCAGTACTGTAGTAGTGTATCGATGCACTGTAGCGGTGCATGGATACACATTTTTTATTCAAATTTTAGGTGCATCGATGTACTATTCACGTACTGTAGTAGTGCATCGGTACACTGTTCACTGTTCACGGGATTGTTCACTGTTCACTGTTCACGGGATTGTTCACGATTCACTATGCATAAAAAAAATACTTTGGTTTTAAATTTGTTATAATGAAACATAATTCTTATGATGTGATATTTTTATAATATCATTTACCATTTTAAAAGAAATAAATTCTAAATCAATTTTGAAGTGAAAATGGTTTTCGAAAATACGGGTAACATCTTTAATCTGTATAGGTATAATTATACGGGTTATGGGTATTACACCTTTACTTCATCGCTCGCATAAGGTATCCACTGAAACTGAAACATAAATATATAATTCTTATCAATATAATATTCTAATTATATCAAGCATTTTAAATTAAATTCTTCATATTTAAATACTTACCTCAGACCCAACTTTTTGATCAATAATTAAACGGATATCCTCTAGTTCACTAGGGATATTTCTATGATTTTTTCTTCTCATCGACCACCTATTTAATATAATATAAACATTACTATTTAATTAAAAATATTTAAGTCAAAATTTAGTTTTGAAATTACCTTAATAATAACGAGAATACGTATGGCTCATAAATGATCGGGCATAAGAAAGGCATGCAGAACCATGCCCATGATTGGAGAAGCATGAGACATCCACCGATAGTAGTTTTACTATAATTCGTTTCACGGCATATTTCTCTAAAGATAAATACCAAAACTAAGGTGCCCCAACTGTATCTTCATGCTTCATCAAAATCAATAAAATGGCGTAACCACATACAGTGCACCTGGTTGCGAGATTTTTCAAACATCAATATTCATCCAATGATTCATAATATATATGACCGAGCACATTCCTTTTCTTCATCCTCAGAAGCATTTTCATTCAAATCTTCAAAATTGACTTTTAGTCATGATAAAGATATCCGACCTCCATTGAAATCTGGTGGAGAAACTCCAAGATACTCCATGCATAGTGGCTTCCAATCACAATCAGCCACACCACACATAACATTTCCATTAACGGGGAGCCCCAAATGCATTGAAACATCCTCTAGCGTAATTGTGCATTCTCCACATGGAATATGAAATATGTGTGTCTACGGTCTCCACCTCTCAATTAATGCGTAAACTAGTGTGGGTTCGATTTTGCAACTACCAACAACTTTCGCAATATACCCGAACCTGGTTGTAGACAGATACTGCCAAATACGTGTTGGTGTCGATATCTTCGTATTTCGAATAAACCTTTCCAAAATATAATCATTTTCCTAATTAATAAATATTCCAAAATTTTAAAATTAATATCAATTCATGAAAACTTTAAATTAAAAAAATATTAAACATTTGCATAAATTTCAAAAAAAAATATTGTCATGGCACTAAAATGTCTTGAGATATGATTTGCATCCAATAGCAGCAACATCTCGCTTTCTATTATAACTTTAGGCAAACAAATATAATTAGCACAAATAATTAATTAATAAATTTAAATATATAATAATTATATAAATATTATTTTAATAAAAAATATAACCTTTTTTAAATAATTATTTATAAAAAAGAATATAACCACTTTTTAAAAAAATATACTAATTTACAAATAAATTTCTTACCAACTATTAAGAAATTTTTAACACAAATAAGAGAGTGATTTGAGTTATATTAGAGAGAGAATGATTTGTTGTGAAGAATAAGGGGGTTAAGGGGTTTATATAGGAGAGGAGAAGGGGGTTTAGATGGGAAAACGGGTGGGAATTAATTGCCCTATTAATGGAATGTGTGTCCCATGAAATGCACCTTCCAACGTGACACCAGAATCCCGCAAAGACGCCCCCTATAAAGCGCTTCTCCCGCGTGGCAGCTCAGTCAGCAGAAACCCAAGGAAGACGCGTCCCCTGAAACGCACCTTGTGCCTTGTCAGCAAAAATCTCATTAGAGTACACTCCCGGGAACGGGTCTTCCTTCCACATCAGCCGAGTGGGTGCTAGTTTAGGAAATATTAAAAAAATTATGTTATATCGGGAATATTATAAAAATAGGGTGATGTAGAAAAGCCAGTAAAATCT